CGGGGCTGCCCAGCACAGTCTATCAATCATATCCGAAGGAATACTTGTGAGGGTTGCAACTACGACATTTCCGCCCACAATGCTGCTCGAAAGAAGGCAGCAGAAGAGACGAAAAAAGAGAAGATTCCGGCCATGAGGCCGATTGGGTCCACAATCCCTGCCATTGTGGCCCCCTACCCCACCTTAGGGGGTGTTGCCTACCTTAGGGTCATAAACATCGAAATCGAATCATGTCCTTATACGGGGCGTTTTAGGGTTTGTCAACTACAACGACCACCGACCGAACTTAGGGACTAGACCGCCGACGGTACGCTCAAGTGCCTAAGTATAAAGCTTCGGCGTCGAAACTTAGGGACGTGGCGACCCCCGGTACCCTCAAATCCTTAAGTAGGTACGCACCGTCACTACTTCTGCCCCTGACGGTACAAACCACATCCCCCGTCCTCTTGGAGAATCCATAAGTGCAATGTGATTGGTCCTCCGAGAATGTAGCTGATAGATCATGCTCCACGTGTACGGTCACTAGCTCAGGTACCCATATCGCCCCCCGGTACCTTTAAGGTACATACCAACATGTCGCGAATCGTTGCCGCCGCGGCATTTTGGCGCCTGACCGCGCGCGTCAGCCTCTCAAGTATAATATCGCGCGTGTGCGCACCTGCCTATTGTCGCGCCCCGGCCGCGTCGGCCCCAATGTCGCTCGGCGCCCGCGTCGGCCTCCCTCAACAGCGCGGACTTCGCGCGCGCAATACCAAAGTCACAGTGCGTTGCTACGTCAGATACATTGACACTTGTCGCCATTATACTCTGCCACGTGTCACAATGCTTAACCTTGACGAATCACAACCTGACACGTATCGGCAACGTCACCCTGTCTTGGCTGCTGTCTAGGCTGCAGTCTAAGCGGTCTGGGCAGTCTAGGCTGCGGTCTAGGCTGCAACTCGTTAAAATTATAGACTGGAGCCGACCTGCGCTGAAATTCGGACTATAAAAGGCATCATATTCGTCTTTTCGGATTCATTTCCAGTTTCGGTAGGTCGGTAATTCAGAAAGAGGCGCCCTGCCTCTCAGTCTTTTTGAGCATAAGAGAGAGTACATACATACAGATTCCTCAACCTCCCCAGATGTCCGAAAAGTCGTACTACACTACTGTTATAAAAATTACACACATTTTCTGCAGAGTTGGCACTTAGGGATAAGGGTTTTGCTCAGATGAGGGTGAAGGGCGCCCGCCCTTTCGGTTCGGATATGAGAGAGTACATACATACAGATTCCTCAACCTCCCCAGATGTCCGAAAAGCCGTACTACACTACTGTTATAAAAAATACACACAGTGTGTGGGGGATTCTTATAACAGTACGCATAGTGTGTTAACCTTTGCTTTCAAAGGAGTAGCGAATATGTATATACCGACTTTTGTGTAAGAAAATTATAACAGTAGGTGTAGTACGATTCTGTTTGTTCCAAGGAAAGTAGCGAATATGTATATACCGACTTTTGTGTAAGAAAATTATAACAGTAGGTGTAGTACGATTCTGTTTCTTCCAAGGAAAGTGACGAATACGTACGTACATACTATGTTCCGGTAGCTTCGGTAGCACACGTGCCAAATTGCAACCCGGAGTCGTGATGTCTGCCACGTGGATACCATGTGCACTGCAAGTTCCGCAACACCCTTGGCGCGGCCGCTTCCCTTACGTTGCGCTATGCAGCTCGTTTGGATTACAGACTGCAGCAGACCTGCGCCGAACTTCGGGCCGTTACCGGCGCCCATGTGTATATGTGCCAGTCCCAAGAGGCACCGCTTTGCATTGAAGGTTGGGCTGCTTCACAATGCTTCCTGTCTGATGGTAATGCAGCGGAGGCTGATGCTGCAGGATTGTGGCATTGTGGCCGAAACTCGGTAGGCATATTTCGTTGGCATTGCACCCCCCCAACCTTACTGTGGTTTTCAGAAGATCTCAGGACTAGCGCCAGCTGAGTAGTTTAGGGTTTCGCAGGCAGTTGCAAGATGAATGGATGACACCGAGCTGAGCAACAGCATCAGGCAGGGGGGCTTCCACAAAGATAGACCGTTGAAGGAGCGGCTAGGGGAGTTGGCCCGCTTGTTTCACAATCGCCAGCACGCTGTAATAGAGCTGATTGTGGAGCGTGACAATGAAATAGCCAGGCATTGCTGCAGTGCCGCCGTTATTGCAGGTTCTTTAGATGGTCTGAAGTGGGCCTGCTCCCTAGACCCTCCCCTGCATTGGGATGAGACTGTGAGCAATACGGCAATTTTCAGTGGCAGGTCAGACATGCTGGCATGGATGCTATCCCAGAAGCCACCATGCCCCTGGTCAATTAAATCAATTGACAATGTTGCATACCTTGCAGTAGATTCTGCAGAAAGTGGGAACCACCTGATGGCAGAGTATGTGGCAAAACGGTGCCCAAGGAGATTTTGTCTGACGGCGGCATCATTGGGTCAGCTGAGGGCTCTACAGTGGGGTTGGTCGCACATTCCCAGCTTGCAGTGGGATGCTACGGTGTGTGCGGTTGCAGTTCAAGCTGAACACTTGCACGTGCTGCGCTGGGCGAGAGCGCAGGGCCCTTCCTGTCTGATGAACGCCCACGCCTGTGCTCGCATGGCGCTCGGAGGGGGGCATTGGGAGGTGCTCTCCTTTTTGGAAGAAGGGGGTGCAAACGCGAGGCGGATTCGGGATGATTTCGAGTTACGTCTCTTCAAGGCCGCGAGCTCTGGACACCAGGAGAGGGTGGCCCAGTACCTCGAGAAGCTGCCAGACCTCCACCTTAGCAAGGAGTTCTGTTCCAAGGTTTTGCGCGAGGACCAGCTGGAGCTATTCAAGGTGCTGCTGAAGGGGGGCCAGTTTGGCAGGGTTCTAAGACCCGGCCTCTCTGTCCCGGGACCCAGGTGCGCAAGGTACGCGCGCACACAGAAAGAGTGCTTGGACCCGGAGTCGAGGGCACGTGCCCAGGAAGTCTACCGTAGGCAGGTGGCGCTCGCGTGCGTGCTCAAGAGATGGTCGATACCTGGTGACTTGGCTGGAAAGATAGGGCTGTCTGCAAATTGCCTTGGTTGTGATAAGATTCGAAATCCATGGAAATGGAGGTTTTGTAGATACATATACTTATCGTCCATTGCAAGTCTCGTATAAAGGTCTGAGTGGACTTGCACAAAGTGAATCTGGCAAAGGGGACAGCATGGATGGGGACAGCATAGTTCGTTTCAGCTCGACCACCCTGTCTCCAACTCATTTCTCCAATCTGAAAAAGACCATCAAGTTATTCATTATATCGATTATAGAGCGCATATACACGGATAACAGGCAATTTTCAAAAGGTCTGGTCAGAATGAAAATGCAGAGTTACAATATATAGAGAAGGCTTTCAAATTGCTTGTGCTCCTGTTCATCTGTGTCGACTGTCAACTACAAGATATCAATATAGGGATGGCTAGTATGTCATTGATTATAAAGCAAAATAGAGGGTATGGCCTCCGCGCATATACACGGATAACATGCAGTTTTCAAAAGGCTTGGTCAGAATGAAAATGCAGAGTTACACCATATAGAGAAGGCTTTCAAATTGCTTGTGCTCCTGTTCATCTGTGTCGACTGTCAACTACAAAATATCAATATAGGGATGGCTAGTATGTCATTGATTATAAAGCAAAATAGAGGGTATGGCCTCCGCGCATATACACGGATAACATGCAATTTTCAAAAGGTTTGGTCAGAATGAAAATGCAGAGTTACGTCATATAGAGAAGGCTTTCAAATTGCTTGTGCTCCTGTTCATCTGTGTCGACTGTCAACTACAAGGTACTCATAGGACAAAGCAGGAGGGGATGGTCTCCTCCGCGGCACATACACAGGCAATACGAAAGCATCCTCTATAAGATATACATAGTGGCATGGCACATACTTGATTAGTGACTGATAAAGGAACTGATGGACCTGAAGCCTGAAGCCGGGGCTTCATTGTGATACCATGACATAGTCTCAGCTGTTGCTCCAAAAGAAAAGCATGTTTTTGACAAGGGAGAGGTTGAACCTATGATTGAGGAACCTAGAGCATGAACTGCCCTTTACAGATTACTATCCAATATTCGCCTTTGATGATATAAAATAGGGTCACCGCCCACGACAAAAGACGACGAACGTTCGAGCGGTTCTGGAGGAAGAGGAAGACGGATTTTCTTTTTGGCTACCAGGCTCCAGGCTTTATGGTATATGCTCCGTATAATCTCTACCATGGTCACCGCTTACACTCTGTTATCAAAATCAGATCAACAAGAGGATCAAACCAGAACATGATCATCGCTGAGGACGCTGCGCGCATACGCGGATAACAAGCAAATTTCCAAAGGTCTGTGAAAACAAAATATGTCGACTTAGCCTCTATAGGGGCAAGCTTGGAAAAGCCTTGCGCTCCGCGTATGCGTGTAGGAAAGCCTTGAAACTACAGAACAAGTGTTTTTAGGGTACAATCCACGACGTGCAGAGAGAGACTAAATAAGCCCTAAACTGGAACCCTACTGATCTCTTGTCAGCTAAAACTATAGGAAACCATCAGGCAGCAGGCAGCAGGCAGCAGCAGCGCCAGTTACACAGACGAGGACCCCTCACCCTCTACCCCGCTAACAGTTAAAACAGACTGTGGTGTTACATTGGGGCATTCCATGTCAACAATTCTCGCCCAAAGCATCATCCGTTGAACCAGTGTCACTTGAGACTTGAGCTGCAGCAATTCACCATTCACTCGCTCTTTGTACGCATTAGCCTCCGCCTGGATGGCATCCCTTTCCGCAATCACCGACCGCAAGTTCCGCACGTGATCCTCCCTCTGCCTCTCAAAAGACTCCTTCTGCCACGCCAACTGCTGACGAAGGAAAGCATGGCATTCCTTCAATCGCTCGTCCGCAGCTCGTCTTTCAGCGATCAGTTCCCCCTTCAGTTGCTGGATGTATGCTCGCAACCCCGCATCCATCTGTGCCTCCCCCCTCATGTTAGTTGATGGAGATAAACATTGCGTACACCGAGACCCTGTAGCCCCAGATGAGTCATGCAAGTTCCCAGCTTCATCCCAGAACTGCGAGTGAGGCTGCGCCTCAGCGCCAAGCTTATACCTCAAGCGAACAGCCGCCCAATCCATCGCAGCTGGAGGGAAGTAGATGCTCCCCAGTTTGCAGAGTCCGAAGAGGGCAAGGGGCGAGTATAAGCACAAATCTTGTATGCCCAGAACCACAAGGAAGCGGCCATCTTGGAGGAATTTCAACACCAACATTACCTGCCTGTGAGACTTCGGCGATTCAAGGTCCATCTAGCTGGCACTGCTTCCCTCAAGACAGTTTTAAGTAATCACACTGTAAGCAAATCTGCAGTTTAACTCCGCGGTTTTAAGCTACACGCCGGAGTACAGCTGTGCAGATCGACGGTGTCCAGTGGGTGCCTGCCTTTGAATTACGGAGGATCTTCTGGAACGTCTAAACACGTGACATTGTCACACAAACGACTTTATCGGACGGTTTGGATGTTCAAGTCGACGGTGTAAGATGGGTGCCTACCCTTTAAGCATAGATGATCTCCGGTACCGGAGAAACCAATAAGATTGCAGCACATTTCGAATATCGGACGGTACGCTTGTGCAATTTCACGGTGTAAGATGGGTGCCTGCCCTCGAGTACAGAGGATCTCCGGGACCGTATAAGCCAGTAACATTGCAGCATATATTAAAATATCGGACGGTCCGGCTGTGCAATTCAACGGTGACAGATGGGTGCTTGCCTTCCAAGTTCGAGTGTTGCAATTCCACGGGTTGCCAGCCTTTCCATCCAATATCGACGGTTTTGGTGGGTGCCTGCCCTTTAAGCATGGGGGATCTCCGGTATCGAAGAAACCAACAACGTAGCAGCAAATATTACTTTTTATGTATCGGACGGCTGTGCAAATCGACGGTGTTATGTGGTGCCTGCCTTCGAATTTAGAATTCACGGTTTGAGTGGGTGCCGGCTTTTCCGTCCAATATGGACGGGTTTAAGGTGGTGTCAGCCGTCCCGTTCCTATGTCAGCACTTTTTAGTGGGTGCCTGCCCTTCAAGCACTGAAGATCTCCGGTTACCGAAGAACCAGTGACATTGCAGCACATATTAGAATATCGGCGGCGCAATTCGACGTTTTTTTAGATGGGTGCCTGCTTTCGAAGTTCGAATCCACGTTTTGGGTGCCTGCCCATCAAGCACGGGGGATCTCCAGTACCGAGTGAATCGGACGGTGTGAGATTCCAAATCGATGGTGTTCAGTGGGTGCATAGACAAACCACAACATCGCGCGCGGCTCCCGCTTCTCTATCGCGGGCGGCGTACCCTTGTTATCGCGCACCGGAGGGATCCCTCAAAACTTTGTCGCGGGCGGCTTACCCTCACGTATCGCTCCGGAAGGGATCCCTCGCAACTCTTCGCGGCCGACGTGTCGCGCGCGATCTCACCGCGGCCATTGCACCGGTTACGTGGATGCACATCGCGTACGTTCTTACTTAGGGACAAGCGTATGTTGTATATTGCACTGTTTCAGCCACCATGGCAAGCTTGACGAGCCGTGTCTTGGGACACTCCCGTGTTCATGCGATCGATGTGAGTCAGTTGGAGGGCTACCAGCAGCTAGCTTCCGTGTTTGTAAAGGCCTTTGACGACAAGGGTCAGCGCTTCCCGATTGATTTCGATGAAGCACACGTGTGGCTGCAGTATGGGAGGAAGGATAGTGCTCTCCGTACCCTAAAGGCCCATTTTACGGAGAACACCGATTACACGTTTGTTGACGGCAGCTCAGCTTACTCCCCACCGAGTGTGGAGGTACCTCGGAAGGGGCCAGCCCCTGACAAGTACTACTTGACGACTGATGCGTTCGAGAATTTTGCAATGGAGGCACGCACAGAGGCCGGCGACCGGGTCAGAGCATTCTTCAGGGCCATTCGGGACGCATACGTGGAGTTAACTACCACCCCCCCAAGCCAACAACTGTCGCGTGAGAAGGCGCTTGAGTTGCTGTTCGAGGGGCAGGGCTGTCTGTATCTCGCTTGCATCCACGAGACTTCGAAGCTGTACAAGTACGGCTGCAGCACCAACCTCCCAAAGCGCAATCTGGCCCACCGGAATCACTTCAAGCCTCCTTATTCGTATAGGCTGGAGATGGCATGGAAGGCTGATCGGCCGCGCGATGCAGAGGATACCTTCAAGGGTGACCCGCTGATAAAAGAGATCCACCAAGAGGTTGAGATTGGGGGTACTGTGCACAGAGAGATTATCCGCCTACCTGATCACGTCGACAAGGGCATTGTCCTAGCAATTGCAGAGCGGGCGGCTCACAAGACACAAAATACGATTCAACACCTTTACGTTGGAGGCTCTTCCAACGACGAGAAGAGCAAGGAGGTCTTGCTAGCCAAGGAGAAGACCCGGCAAGCTGACATTCAGGCCAAAGTGCGACTGGCGGAGTTAGATCATGAACTGAAGATGGAAGAGCTGAGGCTCAAGTGCGCTCCGAAGCAGACCGGGAGAAGGACGAGACTCGTCACTGCCACCGAGGCAGGGGATGCTCAGATGACAGAGGGACTTCAGATTGTTACACAGTACGGGGAGTCTTTGCTTGATGCAAGTGAGCACAGTGCCACAGAGGATTTTGTGCCAGAAGTGACAGAGCCCTTGATCGCCCCTGATGTTGAAGAGCCTGTGGACGAGGAGGCAAGTGAGACCCATGAGCTTCACGGGGCTCAGGAGCTTGCTCAAGTTCCCCATGTTGATACTATTCCTGAGCTTCAGGAGGTTACACCCGAAATTCAGGAGGATGGAGAGGGCACAGTGACAGAGGGGGCACAGACCACCATTGCAGCTTATGCAGAGGGTTTGATCAGCCGCTTCATCGAAGAGCACTGCATCCTTGAAAAGTCAAAGTATGTTACTTCGAAAGATTTCCGCGATCGTCTGCTGGCCATCACAAACGAGAGCGAAGATGTCCTCAGCATGAGACGTGTCGGAGTGTTTATGCACAAGCAATTCAGGGCAAAGGAGTTTATTCGCAACTCGAAGCGCTGCCGGGGCTATGTGGGCCTATCTTTGAAGGAGTTTTCCGGGTAGTGGAGGTTCATCCATGAGTCCGTCGTCCTCGCGGCGATTGTAGAAGAACTTCAACATATCTCTTGCCAGCGCTGCCTTGTGGTCGGGCAACTCCCACACACCGTCCTCATTCTTGACGAGATCCTTGTACGGGTCAAACGAATGCTTGATGAGTATCTGCAATCGACTAGCATATTGACGATTTTTCTTGCGAGTACAAGGGTGTCTGTAAGAATAAGATGACTGGTAGGTTTCGGGCATACATTAGCAAGGGCAAGCGCTACGATCTCGGCTCCTTCAAGGATGCGGTCCAAGTTGCCGATGCATACGACAAGGCGGCCCTGGTCCTGTACGGGCCTCTAGCATCTGTGAACTTCAAGGATATGAATTACTCAAATGTACCATCACCGATCAAGAGTAGGTGTGAATGGAGATAATGGGGTTTCATCGAACCTGGCTCCGTCATCTTCTCGACGTTGTTGAAAATATTTCCATATATCTCTTTCTAGCTTGGGCTTGTGATCGTGCTTGAACTCCCACACACCATAGTCGTTCTTTATCAGGTCCGTGCTCGGATCGAATGCATGCTTGATCAGAATTTGGCCACGTGTTGAGTATTGTCGCGAAGCTTTGCTCCCATGGTAGTGATGTCCGACCTCGCTTACAACGCACCCCAGCGTGCCTCCGTCCATGGCCTTCAATACCCGCTCTTGCCACTCAAGAATTGGTCTACTGTATCCGTCACTCAAGCCCTTTGCGATCCCGGCTCCCACCTCTCCGATTACTGCGCGTGCCATCAACCCGTCCGCGCTGCCAAGGATGGCTGTCTCAAGAAAACCCCCGCAAGCGTCAAGCACGGAGCGGCGCGCCGCCCAGCAGTAGCCTGTGTGGGACATGTTAGCCCACGGGGCACGGAACGCAGGCTTAAACAGGGGCTCGCCGTCCCTGTAGGCCGCCGCGAAGCTCTTGTGCAGCTTCATTACGTCCCCGTCTGCATCGAGGTCCTTGCAAGTCTCAAACAGTTGAACGACTGGGTGCTTCTGCAGAGCATCAATGGTCTTCTCCTTCAGGTCCTCAGAGTATAATGTGAGGTCGTCGTCCGTCCAAATCACATACTCGCAGGAGGGGGGGAGTCTCTTCAATGCCAAGTTAAGAAGGTTCTCCTCAAGGAAAAGTGCTGACCGGCTCCTCACCTGCACATGGTTCGGCTCATTTGGAAGAGTCACCACAAACTCCTGGTCGCCTGTGGCGCACTCTGCCGTTATGAGTGGGATCCCGAGAGACTCGATGTGTGCAGCGAACTTCTTGTGGAGCTCGGACCGTACACGATATCCACAAGGATTGAACATGCACGTGATAGCATAAACGGAGGAAGCTGTAACCCCTGCCATCCTACGTCAGAGCTAGGAAAATAGTTGACTATATAAGCACATTTATGAACCGCTCTCAAATGTTTGATCTCATTCAAGATACCCTGGGCATGATGGCCCGCAGCACGAGCCGTCTCGTGCTGGCGGTTCACGGTCAGCATCAGAATACACTTGACTGGCTCGTCTACGAAATAAAGAGAATTCCATCAGAGAACACCTTTTATCTGAGTGACGAGGACACTGTGCTCCTATCTATCGCCCCTGCAATCAACATAAGCGG